GAGAGAGAATCATCTTACACCCTCACATTGATTTAGAGAACAAATAAACACTTCCCATTTGTCCCTTGCTAATTGTGTACCCTTGAGTAACTTGTTTCATGTTTTGTTTATGGTCTTTTTTCCCTTTCTATAAATTTGTAATACTTACACTTGCCTTGCATGGCTTGGTGATGTTAAAACAGTCAGATGAGTAAATGTGTGAGGCCATTTGCAAGCTATATAATGTCATGGGTGGTTTTTAGGACAAAGTTTCTTAAGTTTAACTGTTGACATTTGAGCTGGCGATTCTTTGCTGTCTTGTGCATCATGGGAAGTTTCACAGTGCCCTTGACTTCTACCCCTAAGGCACCTGTAGCACATATCACCAGTTTTAGTAACTAAAAATGTATCAAGGAAACAGCCTGATTAAACAGTGGGCAAAAGATCTGAGCAGATATTTCTCAAAAGAAGAAATATTAGTGGTCAGCAGATAGTTGAAGACTTTTCAACATGTCCATTCATCAGGAAAACAAAAATAAAACCACAGTGTGATATCATCACCTCACACCTATCAAAAGGTTGTTATAAAAAAGACAACTTGCTGGGCATGGTGGCGCACACCTGTAGTCCTAGCACTTGGGAGGCAGAGGCAGGTGGATCTCTGTGAGTTCAAGGCCAGCCTGGTCTACATAGTGAGTTCCAGGACAGCTGGGGCTACAGGGAGACACTGTCTCAAAAAGACCAAAAAAAAAAAAAAAAAAGACAACTTATGTTCTGGAGAGATGGCTCGGTGGTCTAGTGAGTACTGCGCTTGCAGAGTATTTGTGTTCTGTTCCTGGCGTCCCCTCTGGGTTTTGTTCCCAACACCCAACATGGTGGCTAAAAACCATCCGTAACTCTAGTTCCAAGGGATCCAATGCCCTCTTCTGACCTCCACAGGCATTGAACACATGCAGTGCACTTATGTATATGCAGGCAATACACTCATACACATAAAATAAAATCAAAATAATAAATAAAAATATTTAAAAAAATGACTGTTTGGAAAAAAACCTTTGTGTGGTTGTTTTTACTTGGACCTCCTCAGCATTGTGTCCTTGCATTTTCTGAATTAATCTTTCCTCTCCATGTGTTGCTTTCTTAGATTTTTCATTATCAGTCTTTCCAGTACCCAACCACAGCAGGCACATTCCGAGACCGGATTTCCTGGGCTGGAAATGTGTATAAAGGGGATGCATCCATTAGCATAAGCAATCCCACCCTAAAGGACAACGGCACATTCAGCTGTGCAGTGAAGAACCCTCCAGACGTGTATCATAACATCCCCCTGACAGAGCTGACGGTCACAGAAAGGGGTAAGCTCCTTGTTACCAGCCTTCTGCAGTGCTCTATGACTCTTCTGGTACTTTCCAGAGCTCTCATTGATAAAGCAAAACCATCTGTCTTTGGGTTTCAGTTGGGTCATTGTGTCAAAGTGAGTTTTCTGCTGGCCTAATGTCTGTTAAGATAAAATTTAAAAATATTAAAAAAAACATTATGTGTGTGAGTATTTTGCTTGTATGTATGTAAGTCACCCTGTGTGCAATGCCTGCAGAGGCCAGAGAAGGGTGTCAGATCCCTTGGAACGGAGTTATAGACCAATGTTAACTACCATTTGGGTGCTGGGAATCAAACCTTGGTCCTCTGCAAGAGCAGCCAGCTTTTATCCATGGACCTATCTCTCCAGCCCCTAATCTTTTAATTAATTAATTGTGTGTGTACATGTGCCTATGTGCAGGTACATGCTATGGCACATGTTGGTGGTAAGAAGACAAGTTGTGGGAGTTGGTTTTCTTCTTCCACTGTGTGCATCCTGAGGATTGAACTCAGGTTGTCAGGCTTGAGTGGAAAGTGCTTTAACCTGCTGATCCATCTTACCAGCCCTGTTATGAATTTTTAATGTTTATTTTGGAAGCTGAATTTTTTCTTTAAATATTGTAGTAGTTTCTATATCATCCCCATTTTTTATTTTAACTTAAGGTGACCAAAAGTCTTGTGGAATATTGGACAGTCCTCTGAGTTAATGAAGGGTGATTGTGACATAGAAATAATTACAGTTTCCTTGTTAGGTTCATACTCCCAGTTATGAGACAGTGTTCTTGCCCAAGCCTTAAAAGGGTATTCTCTTTAATGATGGGAAGTACTACATTTCTTTTATGTTTTGAAGAGTGGTAGTTTCCATCTAGTGTGAAACAGGTGGAGGTGTGGTTACAAATGACTTTTTCAGCATTTCCACGTGGTGACTATTAAGTGGTTATTCTAGCCTGTAACTGGATTTGAATCAAAGACTTAAGAAATACATTGAGTCATGATAATTGCCTCATCATTTCTTGGGTCTTCCCTCCCTCCTTCCTTTCCTCTTGCCTGCCCTCCTTCTCACCCTTCCTTTCCCTCCTTCACCCCTTGACTCCTCCTCCTCCCTCCCCTTCTTTGTCATCATCTTCATCTTCTTTGACAATAACCAGTAGGTTTCAAGCACATTTTCATAGTCATGCTGCTGGTAAGAAGAGACACTGATTTCATTTTTCTAGAAGGTGGTTTGGTACTATGCCCTTTGACCCTGTAATTCCATCTTAAAATTTTACCATAAGAAAACAGAGCATACAATGATTTATGTACAAGAATGGTCATCCCAATATGACTTGTAGAGTCAAAGAACTTGAAGCAACTTGAATGTCCAGAATTTGATAATTGATTCAGTATGTTAGAATACTATGCATCGTATTTTTTAATCAGAAGATGTATTCATCATATATTAAATAAAAATGCTAAAACAGTGTAGAAAATAGGATTCCTGCTTCTAACAATATGCACCCCACTCCCATATGTACCTCCAGACTCCTTGAAAGAAGGTTGAAACCAGTGGTAACTCCCCAGGGATGCTGTTGTATGTACATGCTTATCCTTCTCGTATTTCTGTGCATATCCCACTTTTTCCACAATGAACGTATTTCTTTTGTACTCAGAAGTATGAGCAAAAGCATAGAAGCCGAAGAGGACTAGTCAGGTTTCAAGGGAGTCCTCACGCACCTTCTCTTGGTTCCTCCAGGTTTCGGCACCATGCTGTCCTCAGTGACCCTTCTTTCCATCCTCGTCTTTGTTCCCTCCGCAGTGGTGGTCGCTCTGCTGCTGGTAAGAATGGGGCGGAAGGCTACAGGGGTGAGCAAGAGGAGCAAGTCTGGCTATAAGAAATCTTCCATTGAAGTTTCAGACGAGTAAGTCCCACTGGAGCCCTGAGCAGTCCAATCATTTCCTCTTCAGAGCCCTGTTTTGTGGGGGCAGCACCCACACCCGCATATCCACATGTCTAACCACTGTGGTTAGTTCTACTGGGGAAATTTCCTTTCAAATGGAACCGTTCTGCTGAGGAGTGCTGGAAGGAAGGCCAGAGTGAAATATGTGGATATTGGGTTGGAGAGATAGAGGGGTTGATAGGACGGCCCTAGTCTGCTTCAGAAACCACATGGTACAGTGCTGGAGACTGGATGTAAATTTGAAGCATATAACTTGTTCTTTCAAAATTGAAAGAAAACTCCAAGTCAGTGTTTCTCTCTCTCTCTCTCTCTCTCTCTCTCTCTCTCTCTCTCTCTCCTTATAACTATTAACAGAAAATACATGAGCAATGAGGGAGGCTTTTCCATTCAAATATTTAAGAATATATGCTGGGCGTGGTGGTGCACGCCTTTAATCCCAGCACTCAGGAGTCAGAGGCAGGTGGATCTCTGTGAGTTCAAGGCCAGCCTGGTCTACAGAGTGAGTTCCAGGACAGCTGGGGCTACAGGGAGATGCTGTCTCTAAAAGACAAAAAAAAAAATCTGTGGAGGGCAAAGATAATGTAAATGAGCAAGGACTACTACTCTCCTGGGATCACCTCCTTCCCTTTCTTGTTTGTATGAAAGCTTTCTCTTCCTCCAGGACCCAGCTGAAATGTTTCTTCTTCATGCACTTTGTGTCCCAAAGGGAGAAACAGTTACTCCCTGCCCTTTGCTGCCACAGCAAAGTCACCCTAACTCTATTAAAGGATTTGTCATGTTGCATTATGACATGCATGTCAAGTTCCTATCAGGCTTCTGACCCACATAAGATGGTGAACTCTTCAACAGACCAGGTCCTGTTTATCTCTGTTCCAGTCTAGCACAAGGCCTCAGACACTGTTGGTGTAACACTTTTCTGAGTGAATGAAGACTTGAGGTTAACTGCTTTTTACTGAGCACTTGCTGGATTTTTTGATAATGCATTTCATATATATCTATTTTTTATTTATTCCTAACAACTGTGTTTAAGGGGTAGTAATGCCTACATTTTTATAGATGAGGAAGCAGGCCCATGGACCTGTGGTAATCTGTCTAGTCATCCAGGGAAAAGGAAAACTGGGTTCTAAGGCAGACCCATGTGATTTCAATACCTGAGCTTTGAACTGTTCCCTGTAGTGAGGATAATGACAGTTGGGTTTGGGTTTGTGTTCTTTCCACAGCACTGACCAGGAGGAGAAAGATGATTGCATGGTGAAGCTTTGTGTCCGCTGTGCGGAGTGTCTGGTGAGTGCCAGTTTCTTCTGCTTACTGGCCTCTTCCTGCCTATTTGAAGGATCCTTTACTCTGCATATCAGCAGAAGATATGCAGGTGTGCACAGGAGATATGAGCTAGGGTTTTTCTCCAAAGCATTTGCTCTTTGAAAACCCTTACCAATTCTTAGTATGATTTTATTTTCTTTTTTAAAAAAATTTTTATTTATTATTTTTATCTTATGTGTATGAGTGTATTGTCTGCATGTATGTAAATGCACCCATGTCATGCAATGCCCACAGAGGTCAGAGAGGTGTCAGATCCCCTGGAACTGTAGTTATGGATGTTTGTTGTCTTCCATGTAGGTGCTGGGATTTGAACCCAGGCCCTCTGCAAGAGCAGCCAGTGCTCTTAACTGCTGAACCATCTCTCCGGTCTGATTTTGTTTTCTTATTTAAAATTTTTTATTACATTTATTTCTTATTACTTTTAAAAATATTTTATTATTTCTTATTTTTTGCATATCAGTGTGTTCCTACATGTGTAAGTGCACCCATGTTGTGCAATGACCATGGACATCAGAGGAAGGTGTCATATCCCCTGGAACTGGAGGTTACGATGGTTGTTAGCCACCATATGGGTGCTGGGAATCAAACCTGGGTCCTCAGCAAGAGCAGTAAGTGCTCTTAACTGCTGAGCCATCTCTCTAACTCCCTATTTATACACACCATGGTGAGTGCCTGGAGGTCAGAGGACAATTTGCAGTAGGTGGTTCTTTCATTCTACCATGGTGGGTCCCAGGGATCAAACTCTGGTCATCAGGCTTGGTGGCAAGCACCTTCACCTGCTGATCCATCTTGCTGGCCTCTAACTTTGTTTTCTGTCTTGTGTTCTTAGGTTAAGGAAGGGGGCTGTGTAGAGCTATTGACTGACAAAGTCCCTACTAAATTTATGAGGGGACTTGGGCTTGCTGGACCCAGAACCCTAGGCTGAGCCTTGGTATTTTTAAAGGAGTCAGAATATGTAACCTTTTAGGTGATTTAATTTATTTTTTTTCTTTTGTTGGTCTTTTTGAGACAGGGTCTCCCTGTAGCCCCAGCTGACCACAACTGGCTATGGAGACTAGGCTGACCTTAATCTCTTAGCAGTGGGCCCGCCTCTGCCTCCTGAGTGCTGGGATTAAAGGCATGCACCACCATGAGTCTGATAGATGTTTTTTATCATGAAGAAAGACCATATTGGAAAACCCCCATTTTGATTTAAATCTCTTAAGGGCTGGCATCCCTCTCTCTTTGAGCACAGCAGTGACTCATAGGTTTCTGTGGCTGTCCTGGGATCCAAGGAGGAGGGAAGACTCTGATATGGTGAAGCAGGTGTCAGCTCAAAATCAACTTATGGCCTAAGGTGACGCATACCTGTCACTGAGCCGTCTTTGTACTTATTGCCAAGTCAGCACTTGGCCAGAGAAGCGGCATACCCCCTTATTCACTACACTTTACTTCTTTGTCGCCCCTGCATTTGAGTATCCTGAGTAAGCTGAGAAAAGTTGTTAGTTTAGGGAAGAAGGAGGGCAACACCAACCCCTTCAGGTTTGAATATTTGGGAACACAAAGTAAGATAATATTTTTATGGTTGTTATCCACATTTCTCATATTAATTCACTTAATGATTACTCATTGGGCATCTGACATGTACCACATATACCAATCAAGGTGTGTAGGAAATAGCAATGAATAAACTGATACAAATTCGTGCCTTTCAATCCAATGTTCTTTGCATGAAAAACTTACATCCTCTAATGCTCAGCTGAATATCACCTTCTCTTAATTCTGGGTACAAACGCTGAGTAAAAATTTTAATAATAAAATATTTAGTGTATAAGATGACATTGAATACTGTGAGAAAAATAAAACAGGAAAAGGAGGAGGGAGGACTGTAAGGGGCTGTGATATTAAATGGGATGGCTATGGACATCCTCAGGAAGATGATATTTAAGAAAAGTACAAGAAGTAGATAGCAAGCCATACAGCTGTTGTGGAGGAATTTCAGGAAGAAACGGCAGGTGCAAAGGCTCCAAGGAGAGGCACAATGGCATGTTTTAGGAGCAGCAAGGAGGCATTGTGGCAGAAAAAGGGGGGGGGGAGACAGGAGAATTTGTTGAAATGAAAGAAATGATGCAGCAGATAGATCTTTTTAGCACTCAGATTTTGCTGAAAGCAAAAGCACACACAGAGCAAAGCACACACAGAGACAGACTCCTAAGGGAAGGAGGCATCCAGAGATGGTGTCCCAGTGCTGGTCTTGTTGAGCCTTGTAGAGGGCTATAACAGCCTGGACTTTCACTCTGAACCAACTGGAATGCATTGGAGGGATAAGAAGAGAAGCACCATGAATTGATGTGTGTTCACAGATCATCGCTATAGTTTGTGCTGAGAATGGTAGTAAGGGACAATTTCCGTTAGTAGGCATTAGCAATAATCTAGCTCAGAGAAGTCTGTGGTAGTCTGGGCCAGGGTGTTGGTGGTAGAGATGAGAAGTGGCTGTATTCTGTACTCTCACTTGAAAGGAAAGCCAGAAGGATTTATTAAAATTGTCTGTGAAAAAAAATGACAGGAAGAAAAGATCATCCCCAAAGTCTGAGCAACTAGTAGAATGGAATCACTATTTTCTAATATATGGAAGTCTATGTCCAGAGCAAGTTTTAAGAGTAAGACCAGGAGTTGAATTTAGACACATTAAGTTTGAAATGTGCTGTGGGCAGTCTGTTTTCAGAAGAGAGGCCTAAGCTAAAGATATAAGTAGGGTCCATTAGGATATAGAGACTGATGGAGACATGCCCTTCAAGAAAATATATGCGTATATCCATAGGAGAGGTCACAGGACTGACTGTGGGGTTCTGCAGGGTTTCTAGATTGGAGAGACAAAGAGGAATTAGCAAAAGAGATTGAGAAGGAATGACCCATGAGTGTGGAGGAAAACCAGGAGTTTGGCATCATGGGAGACAAGGCAAGAAGCATTTCCAGGTTAATTCCAAGGTTTCCTTAACTGTAAAACAAGAACCGAGAACTAAATGTGGGTGGTTTGGTAATGTGGAGACTATGGGTGACCTTGGCAAAAGGAGCTCCAGTGCCATAGGGAGGATGAAAGCCTGAGTGGGGAAGGGTCAGGATAGATTGCAAAGGTACAGTGGGGGCAGTGAGTGTAACAGCTCTTCTAGGGAGGGATGCAGAGAATTGGGGCAAATGGGTAGAGGGAGGTGTGTGTCAAGAGTTGATTTTCTTTCTATGGTGGGTGAAATGGGGAAAATTATCATGCTATTGGGAATGACCCAATGGGAAAGAAACACAGATGCAGCAAGAGAGAGAAGGGAGGGTTGCTGAGGTGACAGCAGGGCCTAGCACACAAGAGGACATGCTGGCCTTAGGTCAAGGCATAAGAACAGTAGAGATGCCAAGCAGATGGGGCCACAGCACATGAGTGAATGTGGTTTTGGAAGCACGTGTAAGTCCTTTACTGACTGCCTCTCTTGCCAGTGACAGGAGAAAGCAGGGCTGTCGGCTGAGGATGGTGGAGGGAGGAGGTATCAGAGGATGGAGGAAGAGTCAAGGGATGATAGTCATTTAGAAGTAAAGGAGACTCAAGGCCAGTGAGATGGCTGAGTAGGGTTTGATCCCTGGGACCCACATGGTGGGAGGAGAGAAAAGACTCCTGCAAATTGTTCTCTAACTTCCATATGCACAGGTCTATACACACACACACACACACACACACACACACAC